TAAGTCTTTTCACACGATTTCGTAATTCGCATTGATAATAAGATTACAGAATAAAAAGTATAACAGTAAATTGGAATATTAAATATAAACAGTCGCACCTAAGCTCTGCCTAGATGTTGGAGAGTCGGGGTGGCCTCATTATACTTAAGAATCCAACCTTTAAATTGCATTTCATTTTGCATAACATTCATTGGCATACATATGTTAGCATGTTATTATCAGTATTTATTTACACTATTCTGTCTTTAATTTTTTTTACTACTTGGTGATAAAAATATTTTATAATAAAAAAAGAATAATACTTAAAAAATTTTTTTTTTGTTTTATTACAAAATAAAATAAAAATAACATTTTGAAAGAAATAATTCTTGGTACTCTATCTAGATGTTGGAGAGTCATCAATAATTTTTTATAAGGAGTGTTATTTCATTTTAAGGATTGTTGTGTTAAATCTTAAGCGAAAATAATTATTTTAAATTCTGCCTAGATGTTGAAAAATTTTAAGATAATTCTTTAACTTAAAGATTTTCTCAATATTTCTAAATAAAAATTTTAGCAAAATTTTATTTTTCCAAATGAAGGAAATTAGTTGTTAAATTTCAAATTAAAACCATTTTTATCCAACACCGAAAATAGCGCGTAATTAAATGGTACCAATTTATGGGCGTTGTGGGAGTACTAATCCTTCCCTACACGTAACCGACTCTCGGACTCAACCTGATTTTTCGTAAATCGTAATTTATCTTTTTGATAAACTTTAAACATGTTTTTATAGTTTTATTAAAAAGATAAATTTTTGGGTGATCAATCATACCCTAACAAAGATCTGTGGTGACTCCCTTTTATTTTTTTCGATTTTAAAACTCATTTACATCGGACGGTCTCAAAATCGTTATGACATGCCTAACATTTTCTACATGGTTGTATGGTCTATTTGGTTGGCTCGTAACAAGAAAATATTCAATAAAAAATAATTACCAAATGACCAAATCCTCTACTTAATATGGACGAGCCTAGGATGGTGGATGAAGGATAAATTCCCTGATCTGAATTTCTCCATTTTAAACTTCTTGTATAACATTCAAGACTTATCTATGCCTCTGTAGAAGAAGCAAGGAAGAATGTTCAATGGACCCCCCACCGAGCGGTGTTTAGAAAATCAGCGTTGATGGATCTGCCATTGGCAAACCTGGGCCTACGGGCATTGGTTGTGTTATTAAACAGCAAAGGTGAAGTGCTGCTTATTTTTTCAAAGAATGTCAGGGTCAAAGATTACTGCTTCGCCGAACTCTTGGCGGTAATTGAAGTTCTTTCAATTGTGGTTAATGCGAACATTGATTCGGTTCCTGAACTTACCATAAAAAGTGATTCGCAAGTTGTTCATCCTAGCTTAACAAAGTAAGCACCAGCCCCTAGAAATACAATGATCTCCTTAACAAGTTGTATAACCTCTATGCTAGGGTGAAAAAAGTCTATTCATATCCTTAGAGAAGTCAACCAATTTGCAAATTCCTTGGTCAAAATGGTTGTTCATAGAAACACCTACTTTGTAGCATGGCTATAGCTCTTTTTACGCATCAATAATACGTCTCTTTTAATGTTAAAAAGAAAACCATTATTAATATTTTAAAGGAGCATAAATCATATACTTTTGAAAATAAAGTTTAAATTATTTTTAAAAATTATAAATTCAAAAAAAATCAAAAAGAGATTTGAACTTACTTTTTATACAGAAAAATATATACACTTATAAATATATTAACTATTCAAACACAATAATTCAAATTTAATACTGCGAAGATTGCATCATCTTTTTAAGAGAGTTATGGTATATAAGATTGAATCCCCTTTATTCCCTTTGTTTAACCTAAGGCTTCCCGCTTGCATGAATTACATCTTTCGCCAAGGTGCGCATGCAATTGAATCTCTAGCTTTGTTCAAATCACATGTTCTAATATTTGCAAAAAATTGGCTAAAATAATTACAAAAAAATTACTAGTTTTTAATTTCTATAAACCTTAATTATATGATGTTATTATTTTGTCAATAAGAACAATAATGTATTCAAAAGTTAGGTTTTGAAAAATCTGGATTTTAGTTTAGTTATTCTGTGCAATTATTTTTAAGAGGTGATTTTTAATAGATTTGGAATTCAAATTTCAATAACTATAATTTTTTTTAAAAAAAAATTTACTACCTCCTTAGTTGAACAAAAAATTAGGTTTTGAACACTTTAAATTTGGTATGTATGAACTTCCTTTCTAAAGCTTTATTCCTTTTCTCCAAGTTGGTTTTTACAACACTTTTGAAGGTGTCAAACTACACATTTATTTTGATAAATGATGGAAGAATTAAGTTTGAATGGAAGAATTAGTCATGTATGCAATTTTTTCTAATACTTGGAAATGAAACCCTGATTAACTGTAATACAAAAAACAAATTAATTATGTCTTCATCTTTATATAAAACAATAAGAAAAAAAAAAAGCAACATATATACTCTAGAATTTTCAAAATCAAAAGAAGAAAAATTATCTTATACACGATACAGTCTTTAGAAAATGGATTCCCAAAATGAATAACATTAATTGGTCATTAGGTCGGTGGTGATGGCATTGGAATTTTTTTTTTTTTCTATTTAAAGCCAAATCAAAATTCAATAGTTACTACATTAGGTGGTCAAATCAAAATGTTTGAAACACGAGCATGAGAAAGAATTCAACATTCATCCATGTTCTTTGACCTCAATAGATGTATAATAAAAATGATAGATGCTTGCTCTTCTCAGGTTAACTAATCCAGGTTAATGGTCCCCCTTAACTGTGCTTATATTACCTAAAATTCGGATTCCTACACTACAACAATATCACGAATCAAATCTTCTTACCTATTTTGGAACCTAAAAAAGTTAATTGCTTCAAATATTCTGATTTCATTTTGATTTTATACTAGTGTTTTCATGTCACAGCTTATGCGAGTCTACGGAAATTATTTAATTTTAAATAAATAAAAAATTAGGATTTTTTTTTGTTCTTTTTCAAAATTGCAAAAGAAAAGGGGGCAAAAATATGAAGAAAAAGATAAGAGAATATTTTAGATGATGTTTACCAGTAATATATTGTCATATAGAATTGGGTTTCGATTTTACTACTTTTGATTTCATTTCTTTCTAATGTTTATTGAAACTATTTTTTATTCAAAATTTTCATGAATTAATTAGGACTTAAAAGAATTAATAAAAACTTTAATCATTTTATATATGGTAAATCTGCTTGAAAAGAATAAAATAATAATAATAACAGGAGAACTTCGAATAGAGTTTAATGGCCAAATTATTTAACGCTTAATTTATTCATATAACAATTTTTAAGAGATGATATCTTGTAGGATTGGAATTAAAATTTAAGCACTTGCAATCCATTCTTTTATCTTTAGATTGTGATTTTCTTAGTAAAATAAAATGTTTAAGATAGCCTTAACTAATATGATTATTAACCAAGACAGTTGGAGATTAATCTAAGTTCCAAATATTTTAAAATTTAAATCTTTGACAAAAAAATTAACTAAAATAAACAAATAAAAATGTAACAATTTTTTTTAATATAACTATTGCCATAAAAGAACATGCAATTTGGAATTGAATTAAATGTGTAAATTAAAGGCCAATCCAACTTGGATTAAATTAAATGGTTTTGAATTGATGTAGAACTCGCTTTCAAAAAGTTTTAGAAAATTTTACTTTGACAAGAAGTTTACTTAACCAAAGAAAAATAACAGCCAATCCCAATTGTATTACTTGTCTAATAGGAGAACCCACTTACATATTATTAATATTAAATGATAATTTGATTTGATATAAGATAATCAAGTGGATGTTAAGGGTGCAACCTTAAAAATTAGTATAGGAAAATTTAAGCTTGTGGACTAATTAAAATTTGCTTTAGTTAAGAAGCAGTCCGAATTGTATTATTTGCATGAAAAGCAAACTATATGGATACATTCAATGGTTTGGATTGACATGAAAACATAGTTGGTGGTTGATGTAAATACATAAATATATATTAGACTATCTTATTTCATCTTTTTATAAATTACCACCGAAAGTCATGCATTTTTATGCATTTCATACATTTTTCTTTCAAAATCACTTTTACGTCCCCCTTTTTTAGTGAATAATCAAAAGAAAAGAAATTTTTTTTTAATAAAGTAGGCATAAAAAGTTAAAAAAGGAACTATAATAAGGATTTGTAACTATGTTTACCATTATCATTCATGATGAAAATCTAGTTCGGAAGTATACACTAATATTTAACGTACATCAAGTTCATTTGGCTCAAAACAAAAATGAAAATTTTGATTTAACCTAATTGATCATTTTAAAATTGAATTGGTTCTTTATATATTAATTTGTAGTAAAGTTTTTAAATTCTATTAAAATTTTATAAACTGTGTTAAAAAAATTATCATGTGTAATATTTTAAAAAGTTATATGATAACTCTTTAAAATCATTTGAAAATTTAAAAAATTTCATCAAGGATAAAATAATTTTTTTTTAATTTAAGAATTATAACTAAATTTTAGATTTGAGTACACTCGTTTTTTCTATTTTGAACGAGGAATTAAAGATACTGAACAGGAATTCTTTCAATTAGCTTCTCTACCACAGAACGAATAAAGGAAAATACAAAACAAAAGAAACGTAAGCGACGTGACCTAATTGAAAAACTATCTCACGTGTAATGAAGTTGACAAGTTCTTGTGACATTAAGCCAAAATATCTTTCCTTGTTTCTTATCAACTTATTTTTTATATAAGAGATGTAGTTTCAAAATAAAAAAAAAATTATATACGAATTTTATTTTTAGATTTATTAAAATATTATCTTTAAAAAATATATGAATTAATTGAATTAAATTTTAAATTTTATTTCAAAATTTTACTTTATAAAAGACAAATAACAATGCAATTAGAATCAAACATATTAAAAAGTTACACCATAATAATAAAAAATGAAGAAAGAAAAAAAGGGTTCGAAAAAACTCCAAAGCCATCAGCTTGACCATCCAGATACATTGGACAGAAAATTAACTTATCGAAGTTTCTGATAAGCACGTGCCAACAATTCTCAGCCATGGGATTCCTCCACGTGTTTAATTGGAGGACCCAAAAGTGCTGCCAAACCCAAAAGGGGTATTATTTTTCATCCATATAAAATGCTATTTTCACTCACATGAGCCATGCAGATAATACAAAAAACTTTTACTACATAGTCACAAGCTTTAGTTTTGGCCATGGAGGGTAGTTCTAAAGGCAAGGAAGACAAGGAAGGCGGAGGCGAGACAACTCGATACCGTGGCGTACGAAGGAGGCCTTGGGGGAAGTTTGCGGCTGAGATACGCGACTCGAATAGGCACGGTGCTCGTATTTGGCTCGGGACTTTTAACACAGCTGAGGAGGCGGCTCGAGCTTATGATAGAGCCGCTTATGCCATGAGAGGTCACTTAGCAATTCTTAATTTCCCGGAGGAGTATCCCATGGGTAGTGGCGGCGCTAATGTTCACTATGGTTCATCATCTTCCATGGGTTCTTCTTCTTCTTCTTCTTCTTCTTCTTCTTCTTCATCTGCAACTACGGAGAGAGGCAAACAGGTTTTTGAAATAGAGTATTTGGATGATAAGTTGCTTGAAGAACTCCTTGAAAATGAAGAGAAAAAGGGCAAGAAAATGTGAAGGGATGGTGATGTGGTGATCAAGAAGAAGAAAACTGCTCTTTGGCTTCTTAATTGAACTGGTCAAGTATCTTGAAAGTCTTTCTTGATTTTTTCCTTTGATAACTAAAGCACTTATTTTCGTAGGAAAATATTTTCCACCAACACATTAATTAGAGTGAAGCCTCTGGTTTTGTCATGTATCTGGAAATATATTGTCACTATCTCAATTCTAAATAATAGACACTATTTATAAATGTGGGTCAAGATCATCATTACCTCAAGCAATTTCTGTTACTTGAAATGCAAAATGAATTTGATTTTCCATTTATTTCCTCCTTTATATTTTATATAGAAAATTTTTGGCAAGACACACATTGAATAATTTATAAGTGCTTTTTCTTCTTTCATAATTTAATTTTAGTTGTTAAACCTTCTACAAAACCATGAACATGTTTGTAGCAAGGGACAAACAATATTAAGACAGATATGCACTCATTTTGAACTTAATTCTTGATGCTATATGTTAAACTATTAATGATACGAAAGAAGGGAATATTTGTGATGGCTGTACTAAAGCAAAGGTCATCAGCACTAGCTGGGCTCTCTTCTAATTCATGATATGGTATGGTTCTTTCTCCATCTCGCTTTGTTTGCTTATGTTTGATTTTGTAAAACTAAATTCATTTTTAATCAATTAATTTTTAAAACATATATAATATTATACTAAAACTTTAAAACATATTTTTCGAAAATTTGAAATTCAATTTTTGCAAATCTTATTTTTAAAACTTTTACAATTCTATGATTTTATTAAAAAAAAAGTAAAAATTGAATTTGCTTGATAACAAAAATCAATTGGGGACAAATATAATGGGATGAAGCTGGGAGTATAATTTAATCAAGTTAATTCAAATATCAACTTCAAATGAATCAACCTGCAGCTGTAAATTAGTAATGCTTTTATATCCTGACTAACCTATATGTATATACATCTTATATATGTTTATATATATATGGGGGTATGTTTTTCAATAGTCTTATTCTTATTTTTCTCATTGGTATTTTGTCACTTTAGATGAAATATGTTCTGCCTACTTGTCTTGTAGAAAGTTTTAGGTACTTGTTATATAGCCTTTGGATGAATGCATGAAATATGTACTTGTTATATAGCCTTTGGATGAATGCATGAAATATGAATCATACAGAAACTTTTGCAAGCGTATGCATCCATTGAAGTAAGTATTAAATGAAGTTTATGTGAAAGTCTAGCATTAGATACTCGTTAGCCTGTTTGTGATTTATATTTCTGTTTGAATTGTCTATTTGCAGCAGATATTCTGCTTCTGTCAGATTTTGGAATAAAAAAAAGAAATGAAAGAGACCATGCAGTATTAGGGATCAGCTATATTTAACTTCCTTTACAATAGATAAGATAAGATATTTTTTTCAAGTAGCATAACATTTTGTTGCTATATAAGCACTTACAATATCAATTTGCTGTCCAATTAACATATGTTGTAGAATCCGAGCATCTGACTCAATTGATTGATGTATGATATTTGCTTCCGAATATGCACTTCTTCAAATAAAAAAACATATGTTATATGGTGCATGCTACTCATATTTACCAAAATAAATTAAATAGTTTATATTTGATGGACCCTTTCCAAATTGCACATAACTATAGCTTTAGGTAATGATTGCCTTTTTTTATTTGATGAATTATATATAAATTTTATGCATTATCAATGAATTAGATAATGCCACTTTATTAATGAGTAAATAAAATAAATATATATAAAAAATTAATATTCTTTTAAAAAACTATTTATTAAAGAAAGGTGTTATCTTATTTTTAGGTAATATATAAAATTTATACATTAATAATGCATTAAATATAAACGAGTAACATTGTCAAAAGAAAATTACTTTTCAAATGAATGTATACTCACAAAGAATTGCTCCAAATTTATACCAGCAATAATTAGATTTCTCTCTAGCTTGCTCTCATCTATACAAGCTCACTACATTGATTTTCTAGCTGTTGATGTTGCTGTTAATGTGATATTTGCGGCGTATACTTTATATACTAAAAAACTATTATTAATTTAGAGAATTTGTAAATTATTAGTCTATACATACTCCAACCCTTTGTTTTCTGCTAAAACACAAGCATATTCCTATAGCTTTCAGTAAGTTCCAAGTGACAGGCGCAGCCCACAAAGAAATACTCCTATCATTTTCTATCAACCCCAAAATTTCTAGCACAATTATATTGTATATCAATCAAAGGTATCCAGAAGGGAGAATAGCGAGAGTCCCAAACCTAGCTTCTTAGAATATGCAAAGCGTTTTCTATATGAAAACCTCATCACGTGTGGCCAGCCATTTTTAATCTTCCTGTGAAATCTAAGTAGATTTGAAACTTTCAAGTATACTTTTTCTTAATGCAAGCCAAAGGTAAAAACTAAATTAATTGCAGGCGCAAGAATAAGAATTTCACTTCCCTCTAATTCAAGATCCTTCAACTAGAGGATATATGGGATAAATGTATGCGTGTTTAATATATAAAAAAGTAACTTTGAAGAATTTAGTGCAGCTCTCTTTAAAAGATGCATTAGCGTAAATGAAATTTGAATTTCAATATCTATAATTTTTTCTTTTATCTTTATGTTACTGGTAGGATCATGATAATTCTGAAACTAGTTATTAAACATAAAGCCCCTAATCAATTAACCATCTAAACTAGTGAAAGCATAATAAAATAATTAATCAATTATACAAAAGATAATAATTTATGTGATTCAACCCAATTGGTTTACGTCTACAAATAACAAATAAGTTCCACTAATTTAGAGAATTACAAACAAACAAATCTTAATCAACTACACGATAATAATACTCATAAATCCTCCCAATCTTTTTTAATCCTATGAAATATTTTTAACCCTAATAAATACATACCCATATGCATCAATACACTATACCTATATGAACTATCTTATCGTCTAGTCTACTTATACATACACACACAACCTATGTGAATTATCTCATTTTTCTCTAGTTCACTCAAACATACACACCTACACCCATAAAGACATTAATCTTCTATAGTCCTATAGGTGTTTATCTCATAAAACTCTACAATTTTCTTACATTTTTTTTTCATACCCAATTCTATAAAAATTTTATCTATTTATAAGCATATAAATTTGTTCATCAAGAATCTTTTTTTTTAGACTTTATTTCTTATGAGTCTTTTTATCCATCAATAATATGTAATAATTTCAAACAAATTTGTTATAAGATTTAAATCATTATTCTCAACAATTATGACCTTCTTTATATATATATATATATGTATGTATGTATGTATATGAAGACGGCATTAATTTTGTAATTTGTCACCATTGATTCTGATGGCCTTTGCTTTGCATATATCTGATCACCGCCACTGCGATATTCCACAGAATGCTAGAAGATAATTTTAAAGAAGATTCTGAATATTATCTTCACAAAATATTTCTTTATATGATCAGATATCACCTTCTTTTTTAGGGGTACTGGGACAACTGGACGTGCAATGGTCTGAAGAGGATAATATTTGGAGATTGATGAATAATTTCTTACATGTCAACTTTAAGACAAATCCTCATCTGTTATTACCATAGGCATCACATCGACAACTAATCTAAAGCCTTATACTTGTTGTAAGATTCCCAATTTGTTCTCTAGAAACATGATTTCAGTAAATCAAGAATCAAACTGTAGTCATAAAGATCTTAAATTTCACCTGGTGCTGTTGATGTACCATGTCAATTTCTTACTACGCCTGGATTTGTCACCAAAACTTGCCTTCACTAAATTGCCTGGCAATCAAATACAAAGGAAATCAATTGGAAATTGCTTGTCATTCCACTTCATACCAGAAAATTAACATTTCTCCGTAAGCTATGGTGTTGCTTACTGACTTGAGCGTCTCCTCCCACAACAAGTTTTATACAGCAACTGCTAACAAGAAAAATTCATTAAGGGGAATCAATATGGAAATCTTGTTAATTGGTTTTCTATCCCCCAACTGCCCAAACTTGCTGCTAGTGGTCTCCTATTCTACTTAATTTCTCCATTTTGGCAGTAGAAATTCATTGTGTAAAATATGTAGGAAGCCAACTAGGTTCAAACAAATTCCTTGAAAAACTTGGGGTCCTTTAACACCATCTATTGATATGTAAAACAACTGCAATTGTTTTAACTTAAGATTTGCATTGATCTAACATTTGCAGCTAGCAATAATTAATCAAATTCATTATTTTAGCAATCATTTTTTCTCTTCCATTTTGTGCAAAAAATTAATCCGTATCAATGAGTATATTGTGCCTTAAAAACCATTTTTCACTAATTTCCTCCTTGTTACTTCCATCTTCAATTAATGTTTCTCTATATAGTGGTTCAACACTTTAAACTGCATTTTTGTTCAAGTTTAATTAGTTGGTTGAAAATTCAGTATGAAATTAGGTTAAACAATTCAATCAGTCACTGGAAAAGTTGCTTAAATGAATTGCCTCTTTGGAGAAATGAACAAAAAATGGGATTAGAAAAAAAAGAAAACCTTTGTTCAGGGAAAAAGATTCAATATATATCATAATCAAGTGGCAGAAATTCATACTTGTAGTCTACTGTAAAGAAAAGGAGGCATAGAAAGAAATTTCAACCAACCAGAGTGCATTGAACATTATTAAGAATTATGAATCTTGCATTCTTTTCTTCTTCTCCTCTTCAGTTTCAAGAAGTTCATCCAACACCTTGTCATCCAAATACTCAAACTCAAAAACCTGCTTTTCTTGTCCACTTGATGATGAACTTCCTTGCTCAAAGCTCTTACCAGCATTAGCAGAAGAAGATGGATAAGGAGATGATCCCCCCATCACTTGAGGATAATACTCATTGGGGAAGTTCAAGATAGCCATATGGCCTCTCATGCTAAACGCTGCGCGATCATAAGCTCGAGCAGCCTCCTCCGCCGTATCAAATGTGCCTAGCCATAACCGTGCACCACGCCTTGAAGGGTCCCGAATTTCAGCTGCATATTTTCCCCATGGCCTTCTCCTCACTCCCCTATATCGAATTTCTTCTCTTCCTTTCTCTTCCTTTTCCTTACTTTGATTTGGATTCTCCATGCTAGTTTCCCCTTCTCCTTAATCTAATAAAGAGAAAAAAAAAAACAATGAAAAGAAAGAAAAAAAACCCTAACTATAGTTATTCTTATTTCAACCTAAAATTAACTTTTAATCGACTTACCTTTTTAGCTTTCAATTGTGATTGTCTTCAAGCATTTGATGGCTTCCACGTTTCACTAATTTCTGATTATTTATAGTATAAAGATATTTGGTGAACTGATCCAACCCAGATCTGACGGATGTCGGTGAACCTGAAGAACGTGGATTGACCATAAAAACTTTGACTTGTAGTATGAAGATTTGGTGGCTTTGCAAAAATTCGATTGTTAAAGCTTTACGAGAAATTGAATTCAAAAGGGGTGATAATGTGTTTTCCATTTATTAATTAGTAGCATTTTTAAAATGTGATTTGGATTCTTTGCTCTTTCCTAGGAACGGAATATTGGTTAATAGACTTTTCTTGCACACAATTTATGTTCCATCAACCTGACCTCCCTGAAGATAGATTTGTAAGAGAATTCTTGATACCCGCTATCAAATAAAATGCGTTCCTCAATCTCTTTATTTTATTTGAAATAAAAATGAAAAATTTACAATTAAATTTCAATTATCTATATAATTAATAAGATAAGATTTAAATAATTTCATGTTCCCGTTAAAATATTAATCTATGATATATTTATCAGTAATTATAAATATTATGCTCATGAAATAATAAATTTTAAATCATAGTATATATCAAGTTGAAGATTCACCTTCGAAATCTCACTAAAAAAAATCGATAAGGAACGCAAAAGAAATAAATAATTTTACCATATGGAATGATAGATTTCTTTCGCTACTTAATATTGTCTCATTATGACTCGTCCAATGCAATGTTTCATTCAATATTGACTGTTATGCACTACTCTTAATAAAATAATGACTACGTAGAAAACATAAAATTATAGCATATAAAGTATATTTTTTATTGGAACATATGACCTATAATTATTATAATAAAATTAATTAATTATAATTTAATATTACATAAGATTCATAAAAAAATTATATAGAATTCACATTTTTAAGTAATAAATCCTTATATAATTTTTTATTGTGATTTGCTAATAGTAATATTAAAGTAAAGAGAATTATACGAGAAATATTTCATTTTTTACGAGTCATACTGTTTGTCTTGTCACTTTAATTATTTGTATTTCTAATATGATATATAATTTTAAATGTGAAATTTATTAATTGATAGATAGATTAATTGACTCAAAAATAAAATATTAAAATTAAACTATTAAATTATTTTCACATCAGGTAATAAAACATAATATTTAGATAAAGTGTTGGGACAAGTAGTATTTTTATTTTTTATTTTATTTTAAACGAAATGGAAAAAATAATTGCTAGGCTGGGTTTTAGTCAAGAGAAGTAATAATAAGTAAAGAAGGTCGTAAATAATTTTCAGCCTGAACACAGTGCCTCAGAGGTTAACCAATTTAAATTGGGATTTAAAACAGACCGCAGGCATAGAGTCAAAAGTAAAATCCTCTCTAGTAGTAAAAGTTATTTTATTTAAGGATAAATAATATATTTATATTTGGATTTACGATCTATATTTAATGATTTTATATTAAATACAAAAATTAATTAAAAACAATTTAAACAAATATCAATTGTAAATTTATATAAAAATGTATTATTTATACTTAAATAAAATAATAAAAACTTTTATTATTTTTTTATTATTGAAAAATATCTTTGTCGTGTAGAAAGAAAGAGCCCATTATAAATCACCAGGCCCACTTACGCCTACTCAAACTCAGTATTGACCTGTATTTTTTTTTTTTTTTTGAAGCTACCATTAATTACTAGCTTGGAAAGGACATCGATGAAATCCAATTAAAAAAAAAAATTATTGAGAATAATAGAAACCGTTCGTTAATACGCAGCCAACAAATGATATCCATCGGTCACATCTATGCAGCCAACAATGATATCCATCGGTCCCATATATGGTAGATATGAGTATGTTCATGTACTAAAAATTAATGTCGATTTAACAGAATTCGTCTTTTTTAAATGGATTTTGATCTTACGGATTGGATTCCATAAAAATTATCATGAATATTTTATATAATTTAATTACAGTTATAAAATCTTAACTTATAATACATAAATAAATTTTATTTTAAATATTTGATGATAAAATTTCAAGAAACTAATTAGTCTCTAAAATTAGAAATAGAAAGGAACATGTATTCTTTTCATTAAAAAAGAAATATATAAATTTTTTTATAAATATGTAAAAAAAATGTTAATTTAACTGTTGAAATTCATAATAGTGTGTCTTATTTTGTAAATCAATGATTGGATTAATTTTTTTATTTTCTCTTTCTTTCTTTCTACCAAATGAAATGCAAAATTTAGAGTTTGAATTCTCTTTTAGTTTGTTAGCCTCACCATGTGTGTGTAACTTGCCTTCATTTATTGACAATTTTGGAAAATAGGTAAGAAAAGTCATTGAATGGTAACTAACTGGAAAATCAAATTGAAGTTGTTCAAAAACCTTTGGCCCTGAAATTGGATGGCGGAGCCCCTCGCATTTCTGTTAAAAAATTAATCCTTGGTCACCAATTCCTTGATTTCCTGTTGACCATGACCGAAACCTTTCGACAACTCAAAACTCTGGGTCTCGTGGAAAAATCGTAGAAAAATCAAAATTGTCTCTCTTCACTTCCTTTTAAAACATAATAAACCACAAAGTAGGCACAATCCTCGTCGTAAAAGGTGGCCATTTGCTCCATTTTATAACCAATTCTTTCCTCTCTTTGTTTTGTTTTGATTTTTTTTTATCATAATTACATTTAAATCTTTTTAAATTCTGTTCCTCTCTACTCTTTAAAATTGTTTTTTTTTTCTTTTTGTAAATGATTAATATTTGGTCACTAGTTTTCTATTTTTTTTTTGGCTAAAATTTGGTCACACGTTTAAATAATTTAATATATATATATGTAGAAAATATGAATCATGAGGGGGAAAGAGAGGAAAGAATTGGGATGGAATATTCAAGACATGACAAGACTCTAAATGATATGGTAAATGGCATCTCAATTTGGTTTGGAAGTCCATGCTATTATAATGCTTCTTTGACCCTGTAAAAGTTATGGTAATCTAGAATCATTTTATTTAATCATTTGTTAAAGAACTATTGTATTAGCCCTAGCTATTAGAATTTAAATATGTAGGTTGAATAGTTTCTCAATTAATTAAAAATTTTATGATTTTTTCTCGTATAAATCTTTTTAACTTAGTCGTGGATTTGAATCTGAAAAACTTCAATCATTTTTCATTTTGTATACAAGTGGTATTTACACAAAAATATTAGGCCAAAAGGCCTCAATCTAATCATACAAACGGAAGCGAAATCAAATAATCAATCAATCACACAAGAGACAATAATTTAATATGGTTCGGTCTAATAGACTTACGTCAACGGATGAAAAATAAGATCCACTAGTTGTAGAGAATTACAAACATACATCAAAACATATCAACCACTCAACAATCAATAGCTATAGACCTTTTCAATCTCTTCTAATCATATGAAGTATTCTCAACTCAAACAAACACATACCCATATGCACCTTTTCAATATAACCAAATGCATACCATATGTACCTATACATCATACCTAAATGGACCCTCTCAATCTCCTCTAGTCCACTCCCAAACATTTAAACATATACACTTATAAGACGTAAATCCTTAGTACTCTTATGGGGTGTTTATCTCACAAAATCCTACAACTCTCTTATATTTTTTTCTTATACCTAACCATGTAGAGACTTCACATGTTTATAACCATATAAACTTGCCTATTAAAAATCCCTTTCCTCTTAGAATTCTTCTCTTGCAAGTCAACCTTGCCTATTAAGAATCCATTTCCTCTTAAAATTCTTCTCCTGCAAGTTAAACTTATCTATTAAGAATTCTCTTTCTCTTAGAATTCTTCTTTTGTAATTCTTCTTTTGCAAGTCTTCTTGTCCATCAAGCAATATTTGGCCAATCTCAAAAAAATCTCTTATGAGATTTGAGTCATTATACCCAACAAAAAAAAAATTCTCCCCTATTTTCATAAATCTCATATTGCTAATATCAAAATTCGAACTAAAAAGTTTTTCAAATAGAGTTTAAACTCTAACTTCTATGGTGTCTTATTAGATATACTATTTTTTTATTCATTTACCTCACTCTTTAGATCTTCATCTGGATTTAAGTGAAAAACTCATTAATTATGTGTATTTATTAAGGTAAACATTTTGGATAACTAGTTACATATTTGTATCTTTGATAACACAAGTCTTCACAGTACTGTTATGTTTTTCTAGTTTTAGTATACAAGTAAGACTAAATTGAAGCATTTCACTTTCCATTCCTTTTTATTACAATAATACAATAAATTAATTATAATAAATAAATATTAATTAAGTATTAACTCAAATGACATGACATGCATGTGATACAATTTTTGAAGGTTGTGGGTTTGATAAGTCACGCATGTAATATCCTACTCAAATGAGTTAAGTAGATAGAGATATAGAGGTCAAAGGTAGATTTTTAGGACATGTAACATTCTTTTCATATAAATTAAATAAAAAAGAATCAAAAGATTAAGAGTAGATTAAAATTTTGTTAAAAAAAATATTAAGCTTAATCCTTTTTTTTTCTTTTTGAGAAATATTAAGCTTACTCCTTGATAGCAACAAGCTTCAATAATGTAATATAAAACTTACTTTAATTAATGAAAAGAAAAGAGATTGTAATTGGGTTTGAGGTTTCAAGCAAATATAAAAGGGATTTGTGATTTTAGTATTGGTATAAAAGAAAGAGTTGTAGGCATTTAATCTTTCAAAAGTGAGAATATGTAAAGTTTTTCTATTAGTACTCATTAGGCATTTTCTATGAAATAGGAATTGTGCAAAGATATAGATATTCATTATATCCGG